CACCATGAATGAAAAAAACCCAGCATGGCTGGGGCCCCAGGCTGTCCATGATGCCCTACGCCCGTCAAGGGCCTCCTGTTGTTGGAATCTCATATTCTTGTTCCTTCAGTCGTGCTAGCTAGTATACTTTGTTTCTCCAAATGCAACACGTTGGATATCTCTATTCCAAAAACACTGTGGGTTAAAAAAAAAGAAAAGAAAAAAGGAGCACAACCATCCAGCATGCCCAGTGGAAAATGCTTGGAGGTTTTAGTCTTAAACATACAGAAGGACAAATATTCTCCATCCCTGGATTAAGTACCCTACTCTTTTGCTTCATGAAAAATAAGCAGATCCCTTTTCACTGGCTACCCATTTGAAGGTATCTAAGGAGTTTTGCCAACCTACCAGTTCAAAAGCATGTAAATGCAAGTAGATAAATAGGTACTAAATCCGTGGGAAGGTAACGGCATTCTGTGTCTAGCCGTGCTGGCCATGTGACCAAGGAAACTGTCTATGGACAAATGCTGGCTCTACAGCTTGGAGACGGGGATGAGCACCGTGCCCTAGAGTCAAACACGACTGGACTAAATGTCAAGGAGAACCCTTACCTTTACCTAAGGAGTATTACTCAACACAATTGTCCAAAGTCAGTCCCTGAACAATATTTAAAAGAGGTCCCAAAATACAGAGTCTTCTAGGGAGTTGCGCTACAGCCTAAACACAGTTGGTAATCCCCAAAAGAGTAGATGTATTGAATCAATTGTTCAATGGTGAGTCAACACTCATGTAAATCCCATTGATAGGCCCACTTCAGTGGGAACCATCAGTTGGATTCAGGTCCCTGCCTCTGTTCCTCTTCTTCATACTTTGGACTCTGCACAGCAACTAGCGCGAAGCCAGAATGATTCACAGGACAATTGCTTGCTCTATCTGCTTCACATCTATTTGAGAGCTTTCTTATGGTACAGCACAGTCTTGGCTGCAGTACAATAGCTTAAGAGAGACAGTGCAGTGCAACGTAGTGATTTGGACTAGAGATGGAAGCCAACGTACTCAAAATCTATGAAACTAAATGCGGTGCCCGTGGGTCATCCACTGATTTTGCCTAACACTACACAGTTACAGCTGTTTAATGTCACTTTTACTGCTGTAGCTCCATTATCCTACTTGTAGACATGCTATATATTATTTTAGTCTCAGGCACCCTTAAAGTAAATTTTTAAAAGCAAAAAAGCAAAGTGTGATATACCATCCCATAGTGTTTTAAACACTGTCTGGGTGGTTTACAATTTAATGAGGAAAGCTAAACCCATCTTATGAGCTGGGTAGTCAATTTACTGACCTCGGAAGGATGGAAGGCTGAGTCAACCTCAAACCGGCTACCTGGAGTGCATCAAGTATGAACTCAGGTCATAAGCAGAGTCCTGACTGAGGTGCTGCAATTTAACTATTGTACCAGGAGGCTCCATGGGAAGGCATCATGACATTTAAAGAGATATCAAACTGGTTAAATGGAACAGTGTACATAAACTTGAAGCCTTTTGGGAGCTCCCTCCAAAAATCGCAGCCATGCACAGTTATCGCTTTCAGACCATGTGTTTCTCATTTAGGAGCCATCTGGCCAGATCAGCATTCCTGTCATTCACATTCAACAAGCATATGCATAGAAAGGGTGCGGGGGGGGGGTTTTTGGGGAGGCCTAGTGGGGAGGCCTAGTTTTTTTTTTTCTATTTTTGTTTTAACATTTGCTGGCTGGGCTGTCAGAGACGTACACTTAAACGAGTTCATCAGGTTCCCTTCATTTCAAAGACGGCTGGGCAAGGAGAGGGATTTTTCAACTGTAGTTTGGGAATGGGAAGCTCAGATCCTTTTATGAGGCAAATGTTTCCTCTCAACAGCATCAAAAAGGGCTTCCTGGCATCATGGAAGTGTCCAGGAGGGGCAAATGGTTTCCAGATCAGAAGCACTGCATGAACTCACCAGGAGAAAAGAGAGAGAGAGAAAGAAGGAAGGAAGGATGAAGGAGAATTCCCTTTAATATTAGAACAAGTGGACATGACTCGAAGCGATGGTTTGTTCTGCTAGAAGCTAAGATGCTTCCAGAACAGCAAACTTTCAAAAAGGAAGAAGGAGGGGGGGAGCAGCATTCGTGAGGGGGTGAAGCTCACAAAAACACTAGGATATTATTTCAGATGGAGGGCTGACTTTCAAATAACACGTCATCTGGATGGAATGGGCTGAGAAACACACTCTGCTCTCCCAGTGGAAAGGTCTCTCTCTTCAGGAATCCCGTTTTTTCTCCTGCATTTAATTTCTTTAAAGGTTGAACTTCCCTTCCTGAGGACCTCAGAAAGGCAGCAAGCACAGAATGTGAAAAGAGTAAAAGAGAAAATGACCCAGAATAACAATAATGGGGGGGAAACAAAACCTAAAAAGAAGCACTTATTTTCTGCTTGCTCTTCAAAAGTCAGCCGTAGATTCTAGCAACAGACAAGGATTCCTATGGCCCTTTAGATGCACCATCTCTTATGCCCTGGCAAAGGAACCCAATGTTGAGGGGATGATGGGAGCTGTAGTACAACATCTGGAGAGCCATGTGTTTACTACCAGTGCCCACAGCAGGAATTCGGGAATCTGCAATAGGAGCACATAGTCTGGTGGCTGGAGGAGCCTCGTAAACAAGCCCGTGCAAGCTGCTAGTGCCGTGTTCAAGATTACAGTGGACCCTCGACTTACAGACGGCTCGACTTACAGACTTTTCAAGTTACAGACTTCTCTGGCTGCAAAATTTAGGTTCGACTTGCAGCCGGAGAATCGACCTACAGAACAGAAAAAAACCAAAATGGAACAAAAACAACAAAAACGGCCGGTTACGGATTAATCGGTTTTCAATGCATTGTAGGTCAATGGAGACTCGACCTACAGACTTTTCGATCTACAACCACCGTTCCAATACGGATTAATTCTGTAAGTAGAGGGTCCACTGTACTAGGTTGATGAAAGCTGACAGAAAAGTCTTCAACAGAACACATAGCTGGTTGAGGAGTCCCAGGGCAGTCTGTGCCACACACAGAAGAGGAACAGAGAGCTTTACCTCTCTGTTAAAAAGCACGTTTTGGAAAACTTATTGTTCTAGCTCCCAGAATCCCCCCCAGCAGTGCTACTTATGGGGAGGAAGAGAGGGAAAATGCCTGGAGTTCACTGGAAGAGGAAGAAGCCTCAAAAAGGTTAGCTGATATTGTATCTTAGGAGAGCTTGGGAAAAGTTAGTTTTTTTAGCCCACAACTCCACGTGTCTCCTGGCATGGCCAGAAACTTACTAAAGCAGAGCTTATCTGACACCAAACATCAAGATAATTTGTCTTGTCACCAAAATAACATGCCCTTGGTATAACTTTCCTAACAAGCCATCCAAATAGAATAGCATAGTATCTGTAAGCATTAAGAAGTCATAAAGGCAGTGTGGTGTAGTGGATAGAGTGATGGACTCGGACTCTGGAAAACAGGGTTGGAATCCTCATTTAGCCAATAAATACAGATGGGAGAGTGGAACCAATCCAAACCTCTCCTTAAATATCTCACTTACCTGGAAAGCCCTATCGGGGTCACTATAAGTCCGTTCAGACTTGACGGCACAGAACACACACAAAGGCAGAAAGGCCTTTTCATGTGCATGGCTTCATATCATTGATTGATTGATTGATTGATTGATTGATTGATTGATTGATTGATTGATTGATTGACTGAGCATTACATGATGCTTGTTTTACAAGAACTAATTACACAGTCTTATATGCCCAGGTGGTGACGGTATTGAAACACTTGCCTGTGTATTACTATTTTGCTCTTTTTCATGAAGATATGCTGAAAGAGTCCATTTGTGTTTTGTGGGTTGATAAGCCAGGCCATTGATCTGATAAATTTTCTCTTCTCACAGACTGAGACAAACAAGTAATAGTACCGTTTGAAAATTTCTAACACCATCAACTGGAATGAGGACTGAGAAGGTTTCTAAACTATAATTCTCTGCAGACGTAGCTATTTCATCTTATTGTTTGTGCATGTATATCTGACTGATCATGTACTTTGCTGATTTTTAGAGATTGGTCTTGTATCACAGTAACATTTTATGTACCACCTGCAAAAGTATGTGACTAAAGCTAACGAAGGGTATATTCTATTCTCCGAGAATCATGACCATGCTGTCTGGAAGATTCCAGTAACTGCAGTTTCAATAAAGCAGCTTTTTCAGGCTCTAAATCTGGGTCATTCTAAATCCTTACTTTCAAGAGTCTGAAGTCTCCTAACTAGTCCCTAGCAGAGATGGGCACAAACCAATGTTTTGGCAGTTTATGTCGCTTTGTATACCGGCTGAACTAGTGTTTGGCGTTTTAAAGCCCCGCCTCCTTTGGCAGCTGTCCAGTCAGAGACAGCAGCTTGGCTTCCCTGCCCTGCCTCCTCTGGGCATCATTTCTGAGTGAGCAAGAGGAGGGGGGCTTTGAAGCACCAAACACCTGTTTGGCCACTAAATGAACTGGACTGGCAGTTCATGCCCATCAGTGAGCAAGAGGAGGGGGGCTTTGAAGCAGCAAACACCTGTTTGGCCACTAAATGAACCGGACTGGCAGTTCATGCCCATGTCTAGTCCATATTCACGTGCACAATATATTCATGTGGCACATGCTGGGTTGACAAAGGAGACCACTTTACTGCCGAGAAAGCTGATTCTCCCTTTGTTCCAATGTCACCTAAGCAGTGGCTTCCCTGATTACGAGACAGAGAAGGAGCTTCCCCATAATTTGATATTTGATCAGTCTTGTATCAAACTGATCAAAGTTGGAATGGCTTGAACACTGGCTTGGACATAAAGCACATGCGCTACCAATGTGCTACAGTTGTTCCTTCTTCATCAGACCGTCAACCCCAAAACCTCCTTTGCCTTTAAAGAGAGGTTGTCCAGAGGACATCAGGAAGCTCTGAGAAGTCAACTCTCAACACTAGACATCACACTCGCCTTACCACAGTGTCCAGGAAGTGGATGCACCGTAGGAGTTCCAGCCGGGTCTCACAGAACTGGCGGAAGAGAAGCCGACCAATGGGCTGCTTGACACACAAACTGTTGTAGTCCCGTTCTGCAGAGCAAGAGAACAAAAGTGGGATCATTTTTCAAAAGTACTGTAGGTGAACAGCTGGAACCCAGTGGCACCCTAAGAGGAGGGGTACAGGTTTCAACTTAGCAGAAGACCACCACCCCAAAATCTGGATAACCAATTTCAAAGCACATCAAGTAAGTGCTATCTAAAGATCAAGTCTGCCATAAGCTCATCAGATCCAGAATCTTTCATGCTGTCGTACAATTATAACTGCTTGTCACAAAAAGACAGGATGTGAATAGCTGAATTGTTGTGATGTACAAACCTGTCTCCACTAACAAGCCACGGGTTCTTAATCCACCATAAACCACCATACCTTATAGTATGCTGCTGGTTTGCTTAAATTATATTTAAACTATGGCTTCTTGTCGCTTTTTTCTGCAGCTGTCTACCCCGAAACAGGATCAGACAAAAAGAGGTAGGAGAACAACACAACCACAATGTAGTTTGCCTGATTAGCACAAACCATGGCTTATTGTGACATGAAAACATGTCCTTACATCTGCATTTCCAACACCTTAAATGAAGACTTTAAAAATAAAGAAGCAGCCTTTAAAATCATTCAGTAATGGGCTGTGGGATGATAGAGACATAAGAAGGGCATCCCAGAATGCAAGAATATTGGTCAAAAGGTAGGGTGCCCAAAGAGAGAGGTGGAAGATCAAAAGCTAGGGTACTCATTGATACAGTGAAATAGACATTTTCACAGAAGAAGCCTTGGGCTTAATTCAAACATTGAGCCAATCCCTGGATCCCTTGGATAGAGCCAGCTTCAATACAAAAACCCATCTTATGGAAAGACTAGAAGACTGAGCATACAAAAAAAAATGAAGGTAGACAAGCATTTGCAAACCATGGTTTATCTGTGCAGGTGGAAGCATGAACCATGGCAAAATTCAGCATGGTGTCTCAGAACCGATCCTTAGGCATGTATCCAGTAAGCAAGCATATGATTTGATACTGGGAGCAGACCAGACATGGCTTTCCCAGAACATGGAGAGAGCAAATCATATCTATCATGAGGGTCACTCCTTTTGCCCCTAAGATCCACAGCAGCTACTCTGGCTGTGGCAAACACTGGAGGTGGGAAGCAGGCTGGCAGGCTCTTGAGACGGGCGCCCTGGCCTTGTTATAGCAAAGAAATGCCTCGTGCCTGGCTCCAAAGAGGCTTTGAGCAGTCTTATCCAGGATGCCCCATGGGGCAGCAGCTTGTGTCCCGTGGCCTAAGGTGAGAGGGTCCACAGTACCATTCCCTGCCATATTGTCATCACCCCACTGCTCCAGCTGCAAACCTCTTTCCTTGCTCTCCAATGCATCACTCCGAAGGGTCCTTTCCAACACAAAGCCCTGTGGGCGGAGAACCCCAGAGATGGTGGTTCATGGCTACCAAAAGTGACACAAGACTGATCATCTTCCAAGTTATCCATGCTGCATCCTGTGGAACTTTGCTTGAGTAAAACAAATACCTTATATCATTTCTGGAGTATAAAAATCCTTAGGTCTAAATACAGGGGAGACACATCAGCCTGGAACTCTGGGGAAAGGAAACAGACCCTCTATTCCTGCTGCCATTGTTCCTGTCATGTGCCGTCCAGTTGTCTCCAGCTTGTGGCACCCCAATGCATGGGTGGCCACCATCATGTCATCAACCGCCCTGCTCAGTCATACAAATTCAAGGCTGTGGTCTCCTGTCATGACTCAATCCAGCGATCTTTCAGTCTTTCCTGCCACCTTCTACTTTCCCTAGCATTGTTATCCATTCCATTTATGTTTTTTTCTTCACAATGTGGCCAATGTGTGATAGCCTTAGTTTAGCCTCTGCTGTACAGTGTAGAAAATGACTTTTCAAAAAAAAAGTTAAATAGTTAAATTTAGGAATGTCTAGTGTACCTACTATCCAGACAGTACATTCTTGATCCAAAATGGTTTAAAAATAGACTGCATTTTATTTTATTTGACACTATTATGGATTTTTGTTTCACATGTTTTAGCCCGTGTGTGTGTGTGTTTGTGCACGTGCATGTATGTGTGTGTGCGTGTGTCTGTGTGTGTGCACGCGCTCATTTTCATAATTCTATCCCAGGGTTCACAAGGTTGTATATTAACCATGGTTACAGGATTACAAGCTAATTGTGCCTTAGAGGGTTAGAAATTGACCAAGATCTTGCATTAAAGGCTGCAATCAGTTAAAAATAAGGCTAAACCTCCCACTAAGCCTCAAAGCGGGCATAACTAAAATAATCCGCCCTTCCTATTTACCTGTACGAGTACAAGGGAAGGAAAATAAGTTACCACAAACCATGGGAATGTACTAGCTGTGCAAATTCCACTGTTTACACCTTGGCCAAACAAGTCCAACAAGGTCTTGCAACACTGTCAACCACCAAGCCTTCCTCTCTTGCACACTACGAGCAAAGCCAACAGCTGGTTCATCTTTCCACTTACCTATGCCTTTCCTAAGGTCATCGCACTGGCTGATGTGTGGGAACTTGAGGATTTCTCTCCACTTCTTGCTCCTCCCTTTCCGTTTCCCTCCACCTCCTGCAAAAATCACAGAGGGGAAAAAAGACAGACGTGAACAAGTTAGTTTTGGAATGGTAAGCAACTTGATCTTTGACTATGCAAAATCTTTTGATTATGTGGACCACAGCAAACTATGGCAAGTTCTTAAAGAAACGAGAGTGCCTGACCACCTAATCTGTCTGCTGAGAAACCTATACATGGGACAGGAAGCAACAGTCAGAACTGGATATGGAACAACTGATTGGTTCAAAATTGGGAAAGGAGTACGACAAGGCTGTATATATTGTCTCCCTGCTTATTTAACTTATATGCAGAATACCTCATGCAAAAGGCTGGACTGGATGAATCCCAAACTGGAATTAAGATTGTCAGAAGAAATATCAACAACCTCAGATATGCAGAAGATACCACTCTGATGGCAGAAAGTGAGGAGGAATTAAAGAACCTCTTAATGAGGGTGAAAGAGGAGAGCGCAAAAAATGGTCTGAAGCTCAATATCAAAACAAACAAACAAACAAAAAACCCTAAAAACATGGCCACTGGTCCCATCACCTCCTGGCAAGTAGAAGGGGAAGATACGGAGGCAGGGACAGATTTTACTTTCTTGGA